TGTTCTTGATATCACCCCAAAATGCATCTCTTCTTTGGTCCGTATTGTTCAATGCAGCAAATATATTCTTGATATGTCCTCTAAATTCACATGGGAGATATTCCAGGTCATGTTTTGTCTCTCGTGGACTTGTTTAAATTTTCGTCATCTTCAACCTGAATTTGCATAGTAGTAGCTGATTTCCAGAGTCTGCCCTGGGTCTTGATATGATTGATGATATTGAGTCTCTCCATTATCTCTTCCCAAAAATATAATTTGATTTCTTGTTTATTCTATCTGTTGAGGTCCACAAATATAGTTAACATATATATCATCAAAAAAGAGTATTCACACTGAAGAATTTTTGGTCTTGCAAAATTCTATCATTCAATCTCTACCTGTGTTTCTATCAATCTATATGTGTTACAATTCATTTTTGATGTCTTCCAATTTTCCAATTTTGTGCATTCCATGTTAGGATTATTAATGTATTTTCTCAGCTGTTTCTTCTCATTTGACACACATATATATATATATATATATATATATATATATATATATATATATAATTTCAGAATATTATTACAAAAAAAAACCCCAAAAGGGACCTTCACAAATGGAAAAATATCCCATGCTCATGGATTGGAATGCCCCTTTTCAGCACTTTCCTGCCTTCCTCCCAAATCTTCCAGGGTAGGACTTCCTTGCATCAACACATCCTGCTGAGGTGTTCATAACTGCCTAGTGCAAAGATATCTCAAGGTAAGCACAGTGTTATTGTTTTTAAGTCTTTGGACAATAGAACATTTGAGGACAAAGGAATGAATCCAAAAAGGCATTTCAGGTAAGAAAGGAAAAAAAGGGGGGGCGGATCATGGGATTTTTTCTTAAAGATGTTACAGCAATGGTCGCGACCCCTTTGGAGATCGAACGGCCCTTTCACAGGGGTCACTGGATTCATAACAGTAGCAAAATGGCAGTTATGAAGTAGCAACGAAAATTTTTTATATGGTTGATGGGTCACAAGGAGGAACTATATTAAAGGGTCGCGGCATTAGGAAGTTTGAGAAGCACTGTGTTAGTGCTACCAATAATTCAAGGGCACCAAACAGTTACTAGTCCAGATGATCTATACTTAGAACTAAGTAGACATATATCTCACTTGTAATAAAATTTTCTACCAGATACTTTGAACATCACTTAAGCCAAAACTCACATTCAAAAGCATATAACGAATATGCTTTATAAAATTATCTTACCCGAACTACCAAGGAAAACATTTTTAGGACATTAAGTTGACACCCCTTTAATAAGGACCCTAGAAAAGAGGGGGGTCATATTTTTTATTGCAAATGTTCCTCTCATTTGCACAAGTGTTCATTCTCTAGTCTGTCTATTTCCAAATCACTGGGGTAGCCCCTGTGTTTTAATACCAAGGAATACTCAGACACATGTGTAACATGGAATTCTAGCTTACATGTCATCCTGCGAAACCCAACCCCCCCGCAGAGAGGGGATGGCAGGACTCATCTATTCAAAGTCAAGGAAACAGCCAATAAGGCAGAGGGGAATGCTTCACTCCTTCTCCTCTGGTAGCTCGGTGATAGCAGAACTTTGCTGACCATTGCAAATATCTAGTAAGCCCAAAATGAGAGTCTAAAGTTCTTATTTATTATTTCAGCATTTCACCTCACTTAGTCGTCTTCATCCGAGTGACACTTTAATCTTCAGACATGCTTTGCTTCATCCATTAATTATTGCCTCTTCCTTCTCTTAGCTTTACCTTCAACTCTTTTCATAAATTCCTTCCTGTCTGCACAGCCTCTGCCAATATCTGTGCTTTTGTGGCAGAATGGACACCTGCATATAACCAGATTCCTTGATTTCTTTCTTTGCAGTTCATAGTGTAACCTGCTTTCTCTTGATACATAAAGAATACTTCTCTCTCTCACTCTCGCTCTGGCTCTCTCTCTCTCTCTCTCTCTCTCTCTCTCACACACACACACACACACACACACACACACACACACACCCCACATGGATGTACATTTCAGATCCCTGGGGCTCCTGCTTAAGCGCTGCCCTGTGGATGACTCTTCTGTTAGGCAGCTCTTACCTATTTCTTTGTCTTCCACTTATTCCCTTCCACCAGAGAAGAGTCACTTAGGGTTCTACTCACAGCTAGAATTACTTCCTGGGCCTTACCTGCAAACAGATAGGATTGAAGTTGTGAAAGCCTGTGGGGTAGAAAGGGGGAACCGATCACACGGATCTACAAATAACCTTCTCCCTGGGGGACGGACAACAGAAAAGTGGGTGAAGGGAGACGTCGGACAGTGTAAGACATGACAAAATAATAATTTATAAAGTATCAAGGGTTCATGAGGGGTGGCGGGGAGGGAGGGGGGAAATGAGCTCAAGTAGAAAGCAAATGTTTGAGAATGATGATGGCCACAAATGTACAAATGTGCTTGACACAAAGGATGGATATATGGATTGTGATAAGAGTTGTATGTGCCCCCGATAAAATGATTTTTAAAAAGGGAAAAAAAGGAGCAGAACGGCTCCTGTGGGTGAAGCAAGACTGTAAATCTTTAATGGAGTAGGAAGCCTTATCCTTCTCCCTCAGGGCAGTTGGTTGTTTCAACCTACTGATCTTGCTAGGCTAGCAGCCCAATGAATAACTCACTACACTACCAGGGCTCCAAAAGCAGCACACTGGCACTGTTTAGAAGACAGGGGCCATACCTGGGCTACTGGCCAATCTTGGGGGGGAAAACCCCGATTCTTGGTTTCTCTGAGCCCTTCACCTGTTTTTCAGCTTCCCTTCATCCCTGCTTTGTTCACCAAGCCCAGTTTACAGCTTTTGCAGTAAGAGAAGAAAATGCAATGGTTATTTGATATCCTACCTATCCCAGTATAATTTATCCCAATTTAATGCTATTCTTCCAAGGCTCTTTGTATGTTTCCAGAGGAGAGTGGAACTTGGTAGGAACGGTACCCTGAAAAGCCCTAGGTCTCCTCCCACTCCCTCAGTCTCCTTTCCTAAGTCTTGGTGACCTGAATTATGACGCAGAAACAACTCTCACCATCCCAGGAAATGACTGTTTTTCTTCCAGGCCTCACTTCAGACCCCACAGAGTAAGTGGCATCTTGCCATGTTCTCATGTCCTCTCTTTACACTGTTCCGTTCTGGTTCACACCTGATAGTCTCCTAGGAACGCCGTACTCATGGCCAGAGCCTAGCCTGGGTCCTGGTTCCCAGGTGGAGATTGGCAGCCCACTTTTACTGAGTGTTCCCACGCAGCAGAAAACCAAAAGAAAAAAGAAAATTACTCACTGACACTGAGTCGATGCCAACTCATAGTGAGTGCGTGACCAGACAGGTCAGGGTAGAACTGAACCCTGGGCATTTCCAAGACTATAATTCTTTATGGGAGCGGAAAGCCCTTTCTCCCACGGAGCCATTGGTGGTTTTGAACTATCGACCTTATGGATCGCAGCCAAAGACACAACCATCACAGCACCAGCCATATAGCAGAAGGCAGTAAATGCTTCCTCGGTGTGATCTTACTTAGGTCACACCTGGGAAGTGACCATAACATGCTTAGGCTACAAGTAAAAGAACTCCTTCCGCAAGAGGCCTTACTAAGGAAATGTGTTCACTAAACTAGACCTCCTAAAATAGGGCTGGTCACAGGTAGGGCGTACTAAAGGCACTTGGGTAAATTTAGATGATGGTTAAAATTAGAACTCCTCGAATCCCCCACAACCTTCCTGGCTGACAGAGGCATCCCCCAGAAGCCCCTCAGCAACCTTCTTCTGTGTTCAACATTTCAATGAAGGCACCTGGGATAACTGCTACGCAAAGGAGAGGAATCTTCTCGGGACCCATTCCCACTGTCTGATTACCCAATCAGCAAGGTATGCCTGGGCTTCCTTGTGATTACTTCCTAATCTTCAGGGGATAGTTTCACATGTTCCTATCAGAGAACCCATTTCTAGGTCTGGTTGGCATCTGCCTCTCTCCCCCTACCTCACAGCACCTTCCTGCCGACGCAACACCTCTTTCCAAATTTACACTCCCTGGCAAAGAGACCAGACAGAGTACTCAGCAAGGAAGGGTAGCACTGATTTCCTTGTGCTTCCTTACTAGTCTATAGTGACCAACTTCACATGGGTTCATGTTGTTCACAATACATTTAAAAGTACGCACAAGTCAGCCCATGCTGCCCTTACCAGCTCCTCCACCCCTACCCACCCCTCAGTGCCTTTAAACAGCCCTCCCCTGAGATCCCACTCAGACCAGCAAAAAGCCTGGTCAGAAGTCAGCCAAGTTGTTTGCCAATCTGTAGCAGAGGAATCCAGAGCACATTAATGAGATGCAAACTAAAGGGGGCTGATTCCCTTATGGGCAGGCTGTATTGATGATAGGTATGCTTACCCAGGATCCCAGAATGAACAGCTGGAGCACTTGAAAGTATGCTCTACAGGCTAACTGGTCTGAGCTTCCTCACAGCCCACAGGCAACAAGGGTTATGGGGCAGGATTCCCCTGGCAGTGTTGAGAAAGGAACTCAAAGGCGCAGAGGTGGAACATTGCGTATCCATATTTCTGCCTGTTGTCCCAGGGAAATGATCAAAAGTGCCCCCGGTCTTTGGATGATGTACCACCTGTTTAGCCACCCCTCACCCATACCACCACTAGGGCCCTGCCCCTGAGATTAGAGATGAGAGTGCTGAGTAATTATGATAGAGCTGGGTCCAAAGCTTTCAGTGGAGAAAGGAGAACTGGAGTGGAAATCTCACTCATTGCCTTAGAGTGGATGCCAACCTAAAAGCAACCCTACAGAGCAGGGTAGGACTGCCCCTGGGTGGGTTCCAAAACTGTAACTCTTTACAGTCTTTCTCCCTCAGAATGGCTGTGGTCTCAAACTGCTGAGCTTGCGGTTAGCAGCCCAAAGCTCGTAACCACTACACCACCGGGGCTGGCCCCTAACGATTAAAAACAGTAATCTGGTGTTTAGTAGTGCTTGATATTTATTAAAAAGAATGCAAATGCGTTTTCCAGGGAGAATCGGGTTGAGTGTCTGGTTTTGTTGGTTTCTGTTGGCTGTAAGTTTTTTGTCCAAATGCACATATCTATAGGACTGCTGCAATTTTCACAGAAAAAAAAACCAAACCCATGACAGCTGTGTATCACTGATGCAGAAGAGGTGTCCCAATTGGGATGGTAGGCAGGCCAGGCCCTGGCCCCCATCTGGCGGGGGCAGGGAAGGTCGCTGGCAATTGGTAGGGAACTAATCAGACTGAACGGTTGGCCCTTGCACGGGCCAGTGGGCTGTGCAAGTCTTATTGTCCAAGGAGATGAAGCTCCTCTGGCATCTTCTAGATTGGTCCTCAGTTCCAAAGACGGAGGGCTGTTGGTGGAAAGTGGTGGGTGGACGCAGCCTGGGTCTCTGGGGCAGATCAGGCCTCGCAGTTGGGTGGGTGGCGGCAGTAAAATTGTGCAGACTCTGTCCAATTTGTCACCTGGGCCTGGCCTACAGCTGGAGTACAGGGAAAACACCAAATGCGCAGGGAGCGGGGAGCGGCCCTGGGCTGGCCTCAGCAGCAGGTATCTTGAACAAAGACAAGCACTAAGGGTGTGGGTGTAGGGGAAACCGGAAGGGCCAGAGCACTGCAAGAGAGAGGAGGGGGCCAAGGAACACAGAGGAGATGGGGGAGGGTGGTAGCGCAGGGGAGGGGGTGCGAGGCTTGTGGGCCCCACCCCCAAGACAGAGAGTCACGAGGCCTAGTAATAGTCCTCTTCTTCATCATCTTCATCCTCTTCATCATCATCCCAGCCAAAATAATCCTTCATCTCATCAACAAAGGCCCGGTAGTTGACTAGGATGGGGCTATCCATCTCGATCAAAGGCACCACCCACTCTTCGGCTTCCCCGCTGAGGAGGCTGATGAGGAAGGCCACCTTCATGGCATCGTTGCAGAATCGGTTCTCGTTGACCAGCATGTAGGAGGTCGTCTGCACAATAAACTCCGGGAGTCGGCCACTCTCGCCGCTAAACGTCTGGGGGAAGGGCACCGGGCAGCTGGGCGGACGTACCTGGCGCAGCAGGGTGGCTCGCTCGCACACCAGCAGCCGCAGCTGATCCATCAGCCGGCTGTTCTCAATGCTCAGGGCCTGGTGCCGCACCAGGAGCGCGTGCAGCAGCAGCACCAGCTCGTCCACCATGGCGAACGCTTCAGAGGGGCTCAGCTCGCTCGGGTGGGCCAAGGGCTGCGCGGAGGCCTCGCAGGAAGTGCGTGTCCGCCGAGGCGCGCGCAGGGAGGGCAAGGGACTGCGCACAGAGGGCCGGGCTGCGGCTCAGGCTCCACCCACTGGCCTCTCCGGCGGCCTGCGCGCGCCGCGCAGCGTGGGGGTGGGGAGGGGGGTGGGGGCGGGGCCACGGGCGGGACGCACTCGGCCAAGGGAGGCAGGGTCAGAGGAGGGGCTTGCCCCGCCCGCGGGAGGAGCTGGGATTTTGCAGCCTGGCTGAAGGGGTCTGAAAGCCACAGGTACCGGGCCTGTGGGGCTGCGTTTGCAGAGGGCCCAGGAGGCAGGAGGCGCTGGGTCAGCCTCTCAGAAAGCACCACCTGCTAAGTTTAAAGGATAGCATCCAGCCCCTCTCCTTCCTCACACACACCTCAGTGGTTTCGTAGGTTCTGTAGCCCCCAGATTTCATCGTGCCACCCAAGAACTGGGCACAGAATTGAGTGTTTGGGGGAGGATTCAAATTTGGAGGCATACACACCCTTAAGAAACCCTGTCGCTCATGACTAAACAGCATGTCAAAGGAATCTGTTACTTGGTTAGTATTGAACTAGTCTTGTTTTTCTAGAGTGAGGTGTTAAAATCTCTGCCAAATCAGGAACTGCTAACCCTTTGCAGCCATCCTGTCTGTGCCTCTAGTTCAATTCCTAATGTTAGAGTCCCTGGGCTATTAAGTATTATTGTTCGTATACTACGCTTGACAACTAAGACATTTGTGTTTTTGAATGTGGTCGTTTTATTTTATTTTTCTACTTCACATATGATTATCCCAAGAGGTGTGGAACAATGCAGTGGGCTCTCCTTGAAAAATGTAGCCCCACCTCAAAGACTTCTTGCCACAACACAACTGATCTCTTAGACACAGGAATCCTTTAAAACAAAAGTTAAATCTCATTAAAAAGTCACTTGCTTACCAATCAGTCCTCATTCCCGGCAGCCCCACGCCTTGTTGGAATAGAACCATGCACTATAGGATTTACAAACACTGGTGTTTTGGAAGTAGGTTGTCAGGCCTTTCTTCCAAGGTGCCTCTGTGTGGACTAAAACATTTTGGTTAATAGCCAACTACATTTATCCTTTGCTGTGATAAGATTCCACTCAGGAATACTTTATTTGCTGTGCTTTCTTATCATGTTAAACATATATAATAAGCCCCGCCAAGGCAGAACCTGTGTGAGGCAGAAACCTGTCAGAGAAGGAAAACTCAACTATATTCCACTAATAAAGAGTGATTGACACGTGCTAACAGTGCACTCTGTCAAAGGTGCACAGTTCCATTAAGTTCCAACGGTATGGATGTGGAAAACAAGTGAACAAACAACATCGAAACAAAAACACAACTGGCAACAATACACAATTATGACTCATGTTGACCCTAGAGGACAGAGTAAAACTGTCCTGTGGGTAAGCACAGTTCACTACACATTAGGAAGTACTCACAAATAAGCCCATGATTACCTAGCTTACAGCACACTCTCCCCCCTGCCAGGGATTGGTTATACTTACAAAAATAATGAACATTAGTTCAGGTGCTTAGAGTACGCTGTTGCGCAAATGAACATTAAAAAGAATGGGGATTGTAAATTAGTGATTTCCACATTGGGCAACTATCCAGCCACCACCTTAGAGAGAACCCTGATTATAAGTGCCATTTTAGCAACCTATTCGCTGACCTCAACAAAAAAATATGTATCCATTCTGCCAAACCAGTGCGAACCAGCTGAATCCCCCCGCTATATGTATATATATATATATAAATTCACAGGTTTGCTCCTAAAGAGACCCCAATGTAAGACACTGCCATTCAAGTATAAAACTATAAAAACACAAAACATATTTGTTGCCTGGAATATATTTCCCAGGGGTCATTTTATAAAATATTGCTAAAGCTCCCATTTGAACGCTCTCTCTCTTGCCATATCATTGTATCACGTTTTAGTTGGCTAAGTAGCATCTACTCTCTGCACAAGCAATTTTATTTTTATAAATTAATTTGTGAACCAAGTCAGAAGGTACATGATGTCAATTTGTTCCATCGTTGACGGTGATCGCTTAAACACCACTCCCAAACAATATGGCTAAAATGCTAGTTGTCATGGTACATCAATTGAGTAGTTTGCACAAAACATACATTATGTTGTTCTTTATTTCATATATAATTATGTGAATAACACATGCATGTGATGATAAGTGACCAATCACTTCATTACTTTAAAAGTCTGTTGTTCAGTTCATTCACAGACAGCAAAATTATAAGGCCTCCTCATTTCCCAGTGCTATATTGATGTGACACTGTATAAGAAGAGAGCATTGGCAGATGGCATTGGCTAACAGTTGAAAGCTCAGTGTAAGAAAAAAAATCAGGTAAATAACACTGAAAGTGAACTTATGGTTGTGATGAAAATGTGCTGTCCCAGAGAAACCCTGGGGAAACAGTAGGGTAGAAACAAAAACACAACAGTTCAACTTAAAAGAACCCTTGGTGTTTTTTGTTTTGTTTTACAACACTGAAAGAACAAAGGATAAAATGTTAGAAACTGATCCATCCTTTGAAAGAAGCATGACAAATTTGATAAGGCATATAACAGGCGTTCTCTCTGTATATCACTGGTTAAATATATGAACTGGCTTCAAAACATTTATGGACAATTTTCATGATTGTTTAACTTCATTGTTCAAACATTTTTTTGAAATCATCTTGTGTAATGACAAGGAAAATGGGAAGCACTGTTCAAATATTCTTGATACATTAAAATGAATGTAATTGGGGGAGAAGGGACAGGGGAAGGGTGCAGTGAGTTAACAACACCACAGACAGGGGAACAACTAGGGAATTAAAATCCACAACACATAGGATATAGAGATCCTGGGGATGTTGGAGCAACAGCAATCTAGCTGGCAGGACGTACTATGAGGCAGAAATAGGGCCAGCATGATAGTGGAACAGAAGGAAGGTAAAAGGAAACAGAGGAATGACTTAGGAAGCTATGGATAGAGGAGTAAGCATAGGTGTGTCCATATATAAACACATCAATCTACAAAAATAGTTATTGGCCTATGTACATATATTTATATGGCAATACACTGAGGTAGTGGACAGACTTCGAACCCCTGCTCATACCCTTCCTCAATACAAGAACGTTTCATTTTAACAAACTGTCATTCTGTGATGCTCACCCTCTCAGTACAATCATTGAAAACAAAGCAGGTGCATAAGCAAATGTGATGAAGAAGGTGGATGGTGCCTGGCTATTAGAAGATATAGTCTGGGGTCTTAAAGGCTTGAAGTGAAACAGCTGGTCATCCAGCAGAGAAACAACAAGCCCACATGGAAGAAGCACACCAGCCTGTAAGTTCATGAGGTGTCATCGGGACGGGGTAACAGGCATCAGAAGACCCTTAACAAACAAAAACATAGTGTTGAGAACGAGGTGGGTCAGAGCGGAGACCCAAAGCTCATCTGTAGACAATGGAACATCCCTCCACAAAGGGGTCTCAGGGAAGAGTTGAGTTAACCAGGTCGCAGTAAAGCATACATGAAACACACAATATTCCTCTGGTTCCTTGAGGTTTCCTCACCCCCCACTATCAAGACCCCAGTGCTGCTTCTCACTTCTGACTAGACCGGAGCATGTACACAGGTGTGCATGAGACATAAGAACTCACAGCACACGGCATCCAGGAGCAGGAATGGGAATAGCGATACCAGCAGGGTAGGGAGAATGGGGAGGAGGGGATTAAGGGGGGAACTGATCTTAATGATTGACACACAGCCACACATACCCCTCCAAGGGGAAGAACAACAGAAACCATGGGGTAACGAAGACAGTGGTTGGTGTGAGATATGAAAATAATTTCAAGGGGTCATGAGGGTGGGGGTGGAGTGGGAGGGAAAAAGAGAAGCTAATACCAAGGACTCAATAGAAAATTGTCTACAAAAAATGATGGCAACCTATGTAAAACTACGCCTGATACAACTGATGTATTGATTGTAACAAGAGTTGTAAGAGGCCCCAATAAAATGGTCTTTTAATTTAAAAAAGTAATGCCCAATATTCCTAAAGTTTTAAGTCAGTCAGTGTGTTGAATAACTATTAATTTATACCACTATATTAAATTGTATGCTATTTTAAAAATTTATCTCTATGTTTATAACTAACAACAGTGAGAGAGTTTTAATATTTTGAAAAATGAGTTTTAAAGACATGGAAAATTATAGTTTTTCTCATTGATTACTAAAAACATTTTGCATAATTTCAGCTGACAAGATTATATATACGGTTTCACACTACTGTGCTAAGGAGCTCATTGTAACCAATGGGAGAGTTGGGGATGCAGGTCATAGAAGCTTTCATGCATGATCGCCAACAGAAGCACCAAAGTGGGCCGTTCTCACAATCTTGAAGAGAAGCTCTTGTGATTTTCAATAATCTCAGTGCAGCACCCAATAATTATCTCAGTTGCTATAACAAAGCTGATGTTTCTCAAGAGTTTAGGAAACCCTTGTGAATCTCACATCTGATTTTTTTAAAATTAATTTATTGGGGGCTCGTACAATTCTTATCACAATACATACATACATCCACCATGTCAAGCACATATGTACATTCGCTGTCCTCATCATTCTCAAAACATTTGCATTCCACTGTAGCGCCTAATATCAGCTGCCCATTTTCCCCCTCCCTCCCCCTCCCTCATGAACTCTCCATAATTAACAAATCATTGTGAATTTGTCATAAGTTACACTATTCGATGTCTCCTCCCGCCCTCTTCTCTGCTGTCCATCCCCCAGGGAGGAGGCCATACATAGATTCTTGTAATCGGTTCCCCCTTTCCACTCCACATTCCCTCCACCCTGCAGGCATCACCCCTCTAGCCACTGGTCCTGAAGGAGTCATCTGTCCTGGATTCCCTGTGTTTCCAGTTGCTATCTGTATCAATGTACATCCTCTGGTCTAGCCAGATTTGCAAGGTACAATTAGGATCATGATAGTGGGGGGGAGGAATCATTCAAGAACTAGAGGAAAGTTATATGTTTCATTGT